CTGGTTGTTTTCCTTACTTCACTGTTTAATAAAGGTGTTGAAGTGATGTCCAGTGACAGCTAACAGACAAATAGATGCAACAACTTTGCTTGTGCTACAGAACATACAATGACCCACAGACGAAACCTGAGTCTTTTATTAAGAAATGATTTCTGCTCAATATCTTAAGTCAAATGTACTTTGAAAATGCAATTTAGACTTTGAAATGTAATCTAGAAAATTCTATGAAAATTACTGAGGTCATGGCATACAGCTGTATCTGACTATGCAAATTCAATTAATTGGGGAAAAACTCTGTACGTGGAAGGCCTCACTCCCCAGTGACCATGGCTGTTTAAATGAGATATATTGGGTATATTTAAATTCCCAAGTAAACATTTTAAGTATTGCTTATGAATGTATCTATGTAACAGTCTAGATCCTGGCAAATCACCTCTGTAAACATTACCTCATTTAATCTCACTATAATCCTACAAGGAAGGTATTACTGTTCCTGCTCTACAGGTGGCAAAACTGAGGTTGGTAGACACAGCAATTTGTCCAAAGCCACACAAAAACCCCCACTTAGATTCAAAGGACTATGCTTTTGCCTACTCTACATTTAAACTATATGTTTTAGAAGCATAAATTTATTTTATAAGGTATACATTTTCTAAATAGTCAAGTAAGCATTCTAAAACCTAATATGGGCCAATTTTTTGTTCAAACTCAATAGATGATGATCCAGCCCTTAATAAGTCCATCTCAGTTTTACTGGTTTTATCCATGTTAGCGCACTCATAAATACTAAAGGCACCACACAAATTTTCCTCTCAAAGTTCACATGGATTTTTCTGAACTAGAAGATAACCACTTGCCTTTCTCAGAACCGTGGTTTGTTTTTTTTTTTCTACTAAAACTTGAGAAAAAAGATTTGTATAATAAGTTTCATGGTGACATTTTCATATATGATGATGTTAAGTGCTGTCTCCTGACAATTCTAGAACCTGTACAGCCTCAACACTGTAAAAGGAGGATTGAAATCTCATGTACTGCAAATAATCCACAACCTGGAGTAATGTGTTTAAGAAATGGACCTGGAGCCAGACAGATTTCATTCTGATAGCAACTCTGCCACTAGGAAGCTGAAAAGGCCTAGCAGCTCACAATGGTGTGATCACAAAGGAAAATCAAGAGTGGAATTTATTACCATACTTGCATTGCAGATTCCTACCTACATCGGTCTCTCATGATTGTTTTTGTTGGTGGTCATTTGAGACAGGGTCTCCATATGCAGCCCAGGCTGGCCTCAAACTTGTGATCCTCCTGTCTCAAGGCTGGAATCATGCCTGGCTTTTTGTTTAATGTTCACACACCAAGTTATAAACAAAATCTTTATTTGAAAATTGTGCAGGGCTATGCCAAAATAGTGCTTGTCCTTACTTTTTTGCATTCCTTCAGGCAACAGAGGATCCCCGAAATATCTACCTCACCGCTCCCTCACAAGCCCCATCCTGGGGTAGAATGAGGTATTTCTGTGGCACCTAGGAGTCAGAACTTTTATTCCCCATAAAAGTGGTGGCCGGGCTTAGCACCTGTCAGATTATATGTGAAACGGGCATCCACGGGCTGATCTTGGAACCTACCTATTATCTGTAAGGTTCTCACAGAGAATACTTTTGAGTTCCCAAAAGCCAGCACCCTCTGGCCTTTATAATATAAACTATTTTACCACAATGGCTGGTGGCATCTCCATGTGAATTTCAAAAACTTAATATTCTGTTTTAAAATAGGTACATTATTAAAAATCTTACTCAAACTGTATTTATTCAAATTATACAAGCTGGAAGAGGTAAGATCCAATCCTTTCATTTTCTAAATGAGGAAACTCAGGTTTAAAAATCACGCAGCAGTTTGACAGACCTTGGACTTGAACACAAATTGAACCCAAAATCCAGGTTCTTTCTGGTGTGGAGATATATAAAAACAGTCCTAGTAAGTGAGGTTGAGAATTTCTAAACTGGCGGGCTGCCTTCCAATCACCCACAATAGTTCTAAGAGAAGGCGGGGGTTATGTATGTCTTTAAGCCAAGTGCTGGAAGCTCAACATCAAACCATGAAAGACAACATTTGGTGGGAGACCCGTGCTGTCCAATGTATCACAGGCAAACACTACTTTCTGTCTTGCAGGGTTATTCTTCATCTCCAGGGTCCACACCACACACCACACCTCTCTCTGCTTTTATCTGCTCAGCCTGTTTCTTGGCTATCTCCCAGCTCTGCACACAGGCAAGTCACTTGCAGGCTGATGCTGCAACTCTGACCATTCAGTGTACGCAATGATGAGTGCCTACTGTGTGCAAGGACTCGTGCTAACCTTTGGCTCTTTTTCACGAGGCTCACCTTGTCACAGAAGCCTTCCACCACAAATCCGAGACTTTGGCTTTTGAACTCCTTTAACTGAGAATCACAGGAAGAAATAATTCATATGCAACACAACCCTGTTCACTCTATCAAGTATAAAAGTCAAACATGATATTCTACTATAAATGATAAAATGGAATAGAATGAAGAGTATCAGTTTAATTTTTGGAAGTCCTCATTGACAGAGGTATTTGCACTCCAATGTTCACTGCAGCACTAATCACAGTAGCCAAGATGTAGAAACCTAAATGTTCACTCAAAGAATGGATAAAGAAAATTTGATATAAAGAAACAATGGAATATTATTTAGCCTTAAGAAGAAATCCTCCAATATGTGACAAATTGGATGAACCTCGAAGATATGTTAAGTGAAATAAACCTATCACAGGACAAATATTGTATTATTTCACTTATACGAGATTCTAAAATATTTAAAATGCTACTGTTAGACAGTAGAACAGTGGTTATGGGGGGCTAGGATAAAGAATCAACAAACAGTTTCAATTATGCAAGGTGAACACATTCCAGTGACTGGTATGACATTGTTTCTGCAGTTCACAATACTGGATAGTACACTTAAAATTTGCTAAGAAGATAGATCTCATGTTAAGTGTTATTACCATCAAAAAAGGAGTCTTGGTTGGGGTTCAAATTTATTTATCAAACCACTAATGGATCATGACTTGTAACTGGAAAAATCATGTCCTACCTTCCTCCTGAGAGGTGATTACTCAGGGTGAGGCTAGAGGGTCAGAGGCTTCAGCACATACGTAGGCTGAGACCCCTGAAAAGGTCATGCTCTTTGCCCACAGAGATTCAGAAGTACCTCAGCGAAGAATTAGGAACTGTACCCCACAGGTCCAGGTTGGGAGAGGGACACTAAAATGGCACTTCTGAAAAGGAGGGCAGGGTGTCTTCTTTTCCTAACCATCTGGGCAGTTTTCATAATCTTAATTCTTCCCATGTTAGGCTGCATTATTTCCAACTGGACTTTCAACACTGGCAGGCAGGGGGAAAATAAAATCAATTTATAGCTTTGTATTTCATTGGAACGAGAAATCTGAGCGGGCAGTTTCAACAGTCACTATGTTTTCATGGAACACCTTAACCTACTTTAGTGTAAGAGCCATGCTATATAGTCCATTTTTATTAGAGTATTATGACACTGAAGGCTGAATTTCTCAACATCACCATCTTTTCGAGAAGCGTTACCTGGCTGAAATGCTAGGCCAAATTTTCTCCCCATATAGAAACAGAACAGGAGTTCTGTTGCCACTCTTCTCCACTCCCCTTAATCTTTTGGCCTGTCAAAATGGAAACATCTGCACTGTACTTTAAGTGCTATTCTTCAGCTCCTCCCTCCCCATCCAGTTTACTCAACGCTACAAGTCACTTAAAACAGGTAGTTCTAAATGCTCTTCCTGCCAACTGGAGAAACTGTCCTAGTTAAACGTCAAAACAGGCACATGTAAAACTTCAACTTTTAGTTGCTTGAGAATTGCTAGTTTCTTACCATGTGAACGTTAAATAGTGCTAACCACACCAGGCACAAGCTCAGGCCTTAGGGCGAAACAGCTGACAAGAAGCAGGCTATCCCTGACCTCCTTGGATCGATACAAGTTGAGTATGTAAGTATCAGTGCGGTAAAAAAAACACCGACTTTTACATTAAAACTGAAATAGTGTTGTGCTTCCTTTTCTGTCCAAAATGTGATGGGCCGTTTTTGTATAAATGTAAATTTCTAATCATTATACTTGTCTAATTTAAACAAAGCACAATTCCATCAAGCTGTAGGAAACAGAACTATCTACCAATCTTCGAGAAAGGATAACTTTTTGCAAGGGGGTATTTCTGCACTGGGATAGCACCACTCCAAAGCATCCCAATAAACACCTCAACATTCTGAGGATCCAGAGAGATGCCCTCAGAGGCAGAACACATGTGGCAGCACTGGCTGGTAGAGTTTAGCTGTAGCATCTGTCCCGGGAAAAAGACACCAGCACCCTAACTCTGACACTGTAAGCACTGCCACTTACATAGCAACGGCGTCAGGAAGCTTCCGCCTCCTTTAGGAAAACAGCTGCAGTCCTTATCCTCCTAATTGCTTTGTTTCAATTTATAGCCATGAAGTTCGGGGGGGGGGGGGGGGGCGGTGAGAGGAAGTAAGCAAAGCTTAACGAACACCTGGATGAGGGCGGACCAACACACACACCCTGGAGACCTGATTTCTAACAGAAGCAGCCTGGGGGACCACTTGGCGCTGTTCACACCAATCGCCAGAGCCGGAACGGCGGGCGGCGGCCGCAGGTGGTGATGCGCTGGACCTGTGCACGCACACGGGCGCACGGACGCACGGACGCACGGACACCCCTGGCTGCACGCTTACCCTTCCCAGCGCCCGATGCGCTCTTACTGGAGGAGGGGGAAACCTCCCAAAATGAGTGAACGAAGGAGAGACTGACAGACCGAGAGACAGACAGGAGCGTGGCTAGCAGGCGCGCACAGCCCTGGAGATGGCGGCCAAGGACCCCGGGGCGCAGTGCGGGGAGCGGGGCCGGCCTGGCGGGACAAAGGCACGCGGGTGGTGGGGCGCTCACCTCGTCGCCCCACTTGAGCACGTCCTTGTGCCGGTCCTTGACGGCGTGGTAGATGTGCAGGAACTGGAGGATGCCGTGCCGCCGCACATGGTCGGCGTGGCGCTGGGTCTCCTCCCAGCTCAGCGGCGAGCCCTGGGACAGCAGCCCCATGGCCGCCCCCTGCCCGCGGCGCCAGCGGCCGCTCGCTCCGGGCGCGGGGCGCGGGCAGGACACTCAGCGGCCCGCAGGAGGCGGCAGCTGCTCCACCCCGGGGGTGCTCTCGGCCACGGACTGAGGGAGGGAAAACGGGGGGGGGCTCCTGTCCGTTCCGGCTCCTCGGGAGGTGGTCCTCCAGCCCAGGTGACAGACCGGGGTCCGGCGGACAGAGGCAGGAGTCTCGCCCGGCGACCGCGGTCCCCAAGGCCGCGGGGCGGCGGCGGCTCCCGCTTCTCTTTGACGGTGTCGTGCACAGGCTTCCTACTTGTGACCGAAACCTGCGCCGCCTCCGAGCATGCCCAGTGTCCGCGTCCGCTGGCTCGCAACTCCAGGACACGATCCGAAGCTCCAGGTTTTATAGACTGCGGGCGGGGGGCGGGGAAAGGAGGCGGTGCAGAAGGGAGGCGTGGTTTAGCGCCCGAGGGGCGGGGCTGCAAGGGGGCCCGCGCACGCGTGCTTAGGGAGGAGCCGAAGGGCCGTGCTCGCGGGAGGCGGGGCGATGGGCGGGGCGATGGGCGGGGCGGGAGTTAGGCCTGGTAGTAAGAAAATCTTTCTCCCAGTCAACAGAGAAAATCCGGATTGGGTAAAGAAAGCTGATTACTTGAATTAATGAAGAACCCATCAGATTACTTTTTAGGTGGAAAAGGCTTCATAATTACAAAAGCAGGTTGAGACTGGCAGAATGTGTTGTGAAAAATACTATCTTGGGAGTCAGGCTCCACCTCTTAATGATCGCGATGACTTTTACCTATAGAAAGTTAAATTAATCCTATCTTTTATTGATATCGTAAAAATGTACATAGTGTAGGTGTTGCTGTTCAATTTTATTAAGAGGAATCAGTGTGTCCCGAAGGTTTTAAACATGTGTATGTTACTATTATTTATTTCCCTATTTGATGACGTTTCTGGATGACACAGACACCAGTCATTGCAACAAATCAAGGTTTGTGAACATCTCCATAAGAAAAAACCATCTCCAAAAATGTATCTGCCATCCAAACCTAAGACTTATCCCATAAGTGAGCAAAATGATGTTCACAGGTGCTTACCATAGACGTTAAAGACACCAACAAACAACTGAACTTAGCCCTATTTTGATGGCAAATGAAGGAAGGAGGTATCTTGCCCTAAGTAATTGTTCAATAAATATGTGTTGACCGATCAATGACAGGTGATAGCAACGAGATCATGTACTGAGGCCAGAAAGTATTTATCGTGCACCCTTCCCCTGAGGTAGAGCGTTAACGTTTAATGAGCATTTACTTCTTGCTGAATGAGGACTTGATAGTAGGAGTCTTCTCCCATACCTTTGTATTCAATGTGCCCATCACAGAGCTTGGGAACATAGAAACTGAAGGTCTGGCTGTGATTTCGGCTGCGGGAAGTGTGGATGTGCGTGGGTGAGTATGTGTGTATGGGAGGTGATGCTTGGAACTGACAAGATGATTTCACTCAGTAGCACACAGAATAAAAACCGAGATTCATTCTAATTTCCCCCAGCCCACTCAGCAACCTCAGCTACAGGCCCTTCTCTGATTGCATCTTCCCCACCAATCTCACCAGACCTGTATTTCTTCTGTTTTATTTGTAATGTTTTATCGGTTCATCTTTTTAGTCCTAGTGAGTCCTCTCTGTATTGCGGTTGGATTTGTACATGCTTCTATTTACACATTGTGATAGAAGCATTTAAAAATATATATCTCCATACTAGATAGTGACTTCCCTGGGGAAGGCTTTTGGCGCCTTCAACTCTAGAAAAATGCTCGGTACAGAGTAGGTGCTTAATAATGTTAGCTTGCCTGTGGGACACAGGTTCTGGGGGAAGGAAAGAAACAGTGTTTCACCTGCAAGAAGGCATCCAAAAGATCACGCTATTTTTATAATCTCATCTCACATTTCCACAGGCCTGCATTGTTTGACACAATAGCTATCAAGCACAGGTGGTTATGGAGCATCTGAAATGTATCTGCATGACTTAACTGAGTTTTTAGCTTTATTTAACCATCTACATATAAATTTGAAAATTGATATTTCATTCGGTAATTGGAAAACTATTTTAAGTAAATGTGGAATGAGTTGAAATGTGAAGCCACTGAATTTTGAACTGTAAATTTTATGAAATCTGAATGCGAATCAAGTATTCCAATGAAAATTTAATCCCTACACCAGATTCCAAGACTTAGGACGAAAAAGGAGTAAAAATACCCCATTCAACTTTTTTTTATTGATTACATGTTCAGAAATATATCATTTAAATTAATTCATCTGTTTTTTGCGTTCTGAAGGTTACATATTTGGCCCGCACCCCACTTTGCTGCAACAGCGCGCTGCCCGGTGCAAAGCTCTCTCCCCTAACGCCTGCCGTTTCTCGCGGAGACTCGGGTCAAGTTCACCTGCAGGGAAATCGGTTCTTGCGCGGCTCACAGAGACTGAGTTGTAGTGTAGCAAAGTCCGACGCGACGTGAACGGACTGAGGATCAACGCTACGAGTCAGTGTGCCCCAAATGCTGGTCCACACTCACGTGCCGAGGCCTCTTCCACCCTGTGAATTCGGAACCAGCACCCCAAAGCGAGGGTCTCAGGGCTCTAGAAAACCCAAATTGGGTGCAGGTGCTGTGGCACTTAAGTCATGATCTCCGCAGAGCCCGATTTCCGTGTAGATGGGGCGGGAGGGGAGATCAAAGCGCCAAGTCCAAGTTAAGTTATTGCCCGGTGGCCGCGCTTTGCATTTGAGGTCTACTCCTGGATTTCACTCTGTAGAGTGGGTTTGGACATTTGGGGTACATTTCAGCGGCCAGCCGAGTCACTCTGACGACTGAAAGGGAGAAGGAGCTCCCATCTTGCAGCATCAGCTCCTCCAGGGCCACGATCTAAGACCGACCCTCGGTCATTTCTTCCCAGTCTCGCCGAGTGGGTTCCCACGCCGCTCCCCAGCCCGGCGGTGGTCGCGCCGGGGAATCCTCGCCGTGCACTTCCCATCTCAGGCGCAAGCCCCGCCCCCTGGCTGTCCAGAAAACCCGGCGTGCGGATTCCGGCTGCGGGAGTCGGCGGCCGCCGCGCTGAGCATGCTCGGAGCGGGCGGCGGAGGGAGCGCGGGCGGGGCGGGGCGGGGCGGGGCGCGCGGGCGGGGCGGGGCGCGCGGGCGGGGCGTGGGCGGGCACGCCGCGCCGTTGTTGTGATCCGGCCCCCGCCACGTGACCGCTCGCCCGGTGCCGCCTCACCGTGACTCAGCGCTCCGTGCAGCTCCGTGCCGGGACCTCAGAGGTTGCCGGGCCAAAGTCCCCGCCATAGCGTCGCTCCTGCAGCCTGGACGCGGATGCCGGGGTCACAGCAGCCATTTCGGTGTCACCACTTCCCGAGGCACAGGACGAAAGCACTGCTAGGTTCAAGCCACGTGCGATCACCCCCCACCCCCCCCGCACCCGTGCTGCCCTTGTGCTTGGTGGTCTTTATGGGGCGTCTCATATAGTTCCTCCGTAGGGAGCATTTGCTTCATGCCTGGTTCTATCGGAACCCTTAGAACAGACCTGGTGGCAGGTTTTCTATGCGAGGCCACCAAGGTCATGAATACTAAGGACAGCTAGTGGCCAGGTGGGGACCCGAACTCGCGACTCAGAGCCTTGTGTTGTCTGCTACTTCACAGGCCTGGGCGAGGCTGATGGCGCCTTCCAGGTCTTACCGCGTCCATTATGGCCTTTCACTGGCAGGCTTTCCCAAGGCCTAGGTCTGCCGGGAAGTGCTTTGCATTTCTTAAGTGTGCATCGTGGCACGATACAAAAGCTTTAGAAGGAATTTCCTCCCTGCACTTGTATTAGACGTGGAATTGATCATATGCAAGAAGGTCTCCAGGTCCTTGGGGTAGAAGAGCGGTAGCTAAAGGCAGGCTTTTCACTCCACTGAGAGAGGGACTCCCTGCCCTAGTGAGTGAGTTAAGAACAGCGTCCCTGGCAGCCTCAACTTTCTCTGCAAATAATGCAAATCCTTTTGCCTTGTAGTGTTTCTGACACCTGCAGCAGAGATGTGCTACTGTCATTTTCATTCAGAATGTAAGGACTTTTGTTTTTACTTGCTGCCTAAGCTAAATTTTAGTTTACATGAATTTTTTTTTTGGTGGGGGGACTCCAAAACGATAATAACAACTCAACTCCCTATGTAGCTTGGGGCTTCACCTGGCTATTCTTTTTCAGTATTGGGGTTTATAGGTATGCAGCATTTATGTGGACTTTTGAAAATTATAAATGTGCTTATTTTCATGTAGTTACAGGTCAATACAGTCAAGTGAATGCCTTTTTCAAAATAGAGAAGCTCGAGGGTCAACACAGTACAAGATCAAGGAAGAGGGAGCAAGAAAGGATGCTTTAGAAGCCAGATCTCTCAGAGGGCATGATTTGATGGGTATTGGTGAGCTCTTTTTCCCAGAAGAGTATCATTGGCTCCCTCATGAGGTAATAAGGAAGAAGATGAAGGTGCCAGGATGAGCCAGGCACCAGTGGCTCACATCTGTAATCCTAGCTACTTAGGAGGCAGAGATCAGGAGGGTCATGGTTTGAAGCCAGCCCAGGCAAATAGTTCCAGAGACCCTATATCAGAAATACCCATCAGGGAAAGGGCTGGTGGAGTAGCTCAAGGCTTAAGGTGTAGGCCCTGAGCTCAAACTCCAGTACCACAAAAAAAATCAAATAATAATAATAATAAAAGGTGCCAAGATGATGTGTTGAGTGGGAGGATGAAAGGTGAGTCCAGTAGACTTAATTCTTCTCACTGGAGTATGGTTTAAAAAGCATGTTTTTATTCAGGACATTTCCATCACACAAATGTAGAGGACACAATGGTGGAATGACTCTTGATGTATCTGTTACCCAACTTCGGTGTTACCACATGGATAATCTTCAGTTATTTACCCCTCCCGTTAGTTTAAAGCAGATTTCACTGGAGTAGGATCCTGGGTAGTTACCTACAAGCTCTGGGAGATGAAGGAAGAGGAATATGAAAGATGGTTTCAACAATAGTTGGGGCCAGGAAGATGGAAAGGAGTGAGCAGTAGGTTAATTCCTTAATGGGAGTGGAGATTTTTACCTTCCCTATCTAGTTACTTTTCATTCTAAATCATCTAGCTGTTCTAACTTGCATTCAAAAATAACCTCAAAAACAAATATTCATGCTTGTCACATGTAGTATAAACTGCTTCACAATGACACTTGACTAGGCGAAGTGTCAAAAAGTAAATAAGAGCTTTCAAGCAGGTATTTATCCTTTTAAAACACCTGCTTTAAAGACAGGTGCCAGGACTCAAGCCTGTAATCCT